GGAGAGGATCAAGTGGCACGGCACCAAAATCCTCTAAATCCCCTTCCCCATCCCCACTCCTCCCCTAGTGAACAGTCCCGAAGAACCTTGTGGAGAAGAAATAAACAGTCGTGTTCAAGTCACAGTATTTCGAGTCAAGTTGGCTTTGTGCAATACTTATTTCAGCTGGAAGGAAACTACAAAATATCAGCTCAGTAAACTAGAAAAAGGCAAACATGCGATAACATACCAGGAAAGAACAAGGAGTTCAAATATGCGGAACATTGAAACGGATTGTTTGATGATAACCTTAAAAAGAAAGGCAAAATTTTTCATGAGACCTATGCAGCACAAACCGTGGAAAGGTTACCATGTCCGCATTACAATTTTGATCTGCAGTTCTACTGGAAAGAACTCTCCAGTCTTGATATTGGCCAACTCATAAACAGGAACTACAAACCTCCTTGATACTGAAGGCAATATATGTTTCGAAGCGAAACAACACTGAGCTAGATTAATCCAAAACCAAACGTTACGTGCGACGTTCAGCTGAGCTTTAAAGCCACAAATGAGAAATCATAGATTTTGCCTAAGATTGCTACAAAAAATTTCGGCGGTGATACTTGCTGACGGTGTAGAATTCTCGAAACTGCTTAATACTTTGTATTTCTACTTGAATGAAGGACATCCGTTTTCTGACAGCCACTCGCAAGACCTCTCAACAATCGTGGCTCCTTTGTTGAGAACCTGGCACAAAATGGACTTTTATGAATACGCTTTATCAAGAAATCATTTCAAATCGTTTGTTTTTTGGTTTGCTACTAGGAACCCAATCTCCTCGCGATTTCATTTCCCTCCGTCTGAAGCTTGTTCCGACAGGCCGAACCAAAATCCTTGGAAAGAACTTTACCTCATGGTTAAATGCATCAGGATTCTAATCCAACAAAGAAAATTCAAATTTTTGTTTAATAATCGTGAATCAATATCTTCAGGAAAAAATAAAACTACCCCTTATTTTTAGTTGTTTGCCGACTGCGAACTTCGATCATTTACAAACTGGCACTGTTTTTAATTTCTAATGTTATGTCTTGATGCTACTTGTAGACTAGGGCATATGTTGTTGAAGCGCAAGCGTGTTTGTACACTGCAGTTCAAGATGTTTTGCTCTTAATAAAAATTCAACTTTCCCCGCGCAAGAAGATTTGTCCGCCTTTCTCAAAAGTCAAACTGCAGTGAGACATGTGCTTTTTTTTTTCTTTATGAGTCTGCAAAAAAATTAAGACTCGTCTCTTTTGCAAAACCTTTTCAGCTATTTAACTTAAGAATGTGCAAAGGTTTTCCGCCCGCCTCCCTCCCCCTCAGGACTCTCCACTGATCGCTACCATATTAGAAAATCATGAGATGTTTGAAATCATAGATTCCAGCCAATTTAATTTGTTGTGGAATAAAGTTTTTATCTTTCCTACTCTTTTTGAGAATCAGAGCCTTTATAATCAAAAATTTTCCAAGAAATGTTGCATCAGCGGCAGGATACTAAAACGATACCTAAAAACGGGCTAACAATGATCGATATTCTACTCGGAAAACGTTAAACGTTTTAACGAGACAAATTAACCACAGATGACTTTTTGTTTTTTTCATTATAATTATTTTTAGCTTAAAGAGCTAGCGTGTTATCTGGTTTGGCACCCATTTGTCGTCAATTTGCGGTTTTAAATACATTTTATATCGGCCTTGTTCTAATTTTTGTCGAAGTTGTACGTGACATTTAAAAGTAAACATCTACCTACGTAAAAAAAGAAAGGCCATAGGTTGAAAACTTGTGACGATATTGAAAGGGAGGGTTTGTCCTTTGGTATTGTAACGGTACTATGGATGCCGGTCACGTTTTCCTAGCCCACCCCTGTGGGGAACTCTAATTTATCCAAAACTACTACAACAACAACAAACTGAGGCAAGAAAGAGTAATAAAAACATTGCTAAACAAAGTGTACTTGTGAATTTTTCCTGTCTTCTGTGTCATGCATGCACACTGAGCATATAGGTCCACTCTCAAGATTGGCTGGTTTAACCGGTAAAACAGGTAACCACATTAAACTAAGAACAAATTGAAACTGTATGTTGATGGTCAGATTTTTTTGGAAATAAATGTCTGTGTTGTAATTGTTTAACTTGAAACAATTCTTTCCATGCATGATATGTTTTACGAAATTCTAATTCACAGTCAGCTAGTATAAAAGAAGATTTCATACGAACTAGAAAATTTTACCAATTACTACCAATCAAACCATGTTTGGATCATTTTGATCACTTGTTTTTTTCTCTCCACGGGGCCGGGGCACCACAGTTGCATGATTTAACTTTAAACCAATCTAATCGTATTGCTTTCATAGTCAACAGATCAAGAACCGGAAAAAGGTGGAGTTTCCTGCAACCTAATTGTATTGCTCTACACAGACAGAAAATACAGCAAAATCAATATTGAAACGTGATGTTGTTCTCTGAGATACAGGATTGATTATCAAATACTGATGCTGGCTTAAGTTCGAACGTTTTCCGGTTTTTATTAAACATTATCGCAGGAATTTTTACTGTGTGGTTAGCTTAGAAAAGGACCTAGAAGATTCTAAGAATTTTTCCCTTAGCGTGTCTGGTGCTGATTTAATTCAATATTTAGGGAAATTGTCTCTTTCGTTCAAACATAACATATTTTGTTAATGTGGTGATCTGATGTTGATGAAGATAAAAAATTACTCTTTCTGTCTTAAGATAAAAATACACTTGTCTTCTGACAATAATCTTGATATGATTACCAGATGACTGAAGTGTTGATAATTTTTTTTTTGCCCCGTGGAAAACTAAAACAAAGCATCAAGTGCGGCAAAAAAACAAACTGCGCCTCGTTCGAGAGGAGAAAAAAAGGAGCTTGTTCTTTCAGATTTTTCAGCTGGGATACACGTCTGAGCTTAACATAAAGCAAGGACAAATCGTAATTTGATTCTTTTTTTATTATTATTATATATCGAGAGGTTTTTGGCTCTCTTTGCTTAGACGCTTTATGTATAATACCTGCAATTTCTGCCATATCATTTCAACTGCTTCACTTACTTGCTGTAAACAATAGCTCAGTCAAAATCTTGTTGCAGGGGGAAGAAAAAAAAAGGTTAAAACAAAAAACCGGATAAGCCGGATGGAAGCCAGCTTATCCACAAATGACGAATAGACTTTCCCCTGTTTGCCGCTGTGTGTAAAGCTTCCAGATTCATGACCTCTGGGAAAAAGTGCTTACAATAGAGAGAAGCATCATTTTCATACCAAGAAAGCGTCCAACGATCGATATTTCAAGATCACCAGTTAGAAGTAGATTCGTGATCACACTGTTTTAACTAAACGTGTCGTGATACCTTCGTGAAACAATCAAATCAATTCAAATCAATTCAAATTCCTCTTCTGTATTTAGGATCAGCCAATTATATTATCGCCCTCAGGAAACAGCATCGAGTCGCGCCAAGCTTATATCATCTCTACCCTCAGCACGAACGCTGTCCTAACCTCACGCAGACATATTAGTTTTAAGCTTTTGTCGTTAGATTTTCCAAAGATTCCAATCTTTGCCTCTCGAAAACTGGAGTCAAGTAAAACATCTGTTTGTTTCTCAGCATAACGTGCAGAAGCAATCAGAGACAATTTAGCGAATATCGTTGTCTCTTTTTCTCTTTCTTTCTTTTCACCGACACAAGCTGTAAAACTTGTATATACCTGTGGGGTTTAATCAACCTCGTTTCCAGGTTCTCTCTTCTTTCCGCTCAAGGGGGCCTGAAACTAGAAAGAAACTGGAAACGAAGATGGAATGAAAGTAAATGTCAAAGCTCTGTTTTAACATTCCAGGTTGCTCCTTTCCTTTCGCTCTAATGTTTGCGGTAAATGAAAACAACTTCTCCTTGGTTCTCCTTGGTGTTCGCTCTACATCTCTTAGATAATTCAAGTTCGGAGAATTTGGTTCTAAATCAAACGAGATCCTTAAACTTTAACGTATTTTCTTACTTTCGTCGCCCCTTTGCTTGACTATGAATTAGAAACGGCGTCAAATCTTATTTGTAAAATTGTTGAGTGACGACATAGTTTTTTTTGACAAGACTTCGATCAAAGACTCGTTGTTTTCGAGCTTAGTAACCGCGTCGCTTCTTTTTCACCAGTACATCAAACAAGATGGCGGCTTGATCGGGAAAGGTCTTCTGTCTGATGTTGCTAGGCAACGAGACCTTCAATTCTTGCCAAACATTGAACCATCATCCCTACCTCATCAAGGTATGTTATGGCTGATCATGCCCCTTCATCATATTTAATTGGAATTTTCCTCGTAAATTTGCCGTAATCGTATGATATTTACAAGAAATTCAGATCAGTTTTTCGTAGCTAGTGCCATATTGTAGAATTCAAACAAATTTGGCACTTGAGCTATTTTCGTTTTGTTCCTTAAAGATCAAAAACCTGATCTTCTATTCGGGGCCCTTTTTTCACGCCACAATACGCTGTTGTAATGGTTACAGTGATGATTCGTGAGGAAGAAGGACATTTAAGGAGTGGAAATCACCTTCTTGACCTAAACGGTGTTTCACCTGATCATTGGAGGCGTATACTTGAGTAAATTAGTTGAATTTGAAACTTTTCCAAAATGTGAGTTTCATCAACTGACAGACAGTGCATGGAGAACAATGATTAACTGAGAGCTGGGATTTGTTACACCTTCGCTGGGAAAACTCATGTTTAGTTCTATAAATGATTTTGAGTGTTTTAATGTGAATGCTTGGTAGATTTTATAGCGATAAGTAGCAACGGAATTTTTTTACTATAAAATAGACTTGAATGATCCCAAATGCGGTGTGATAAGTTCATTAATAGTCAGAAAAACACTTGAAACCCTAAACGAGATCGGAAACCCATGAATGTCCACACTGGTTATAAAAATATTCTACAGGTCACGAGTTCTAACCAGATAATACGTTGAAACAACTTCATCAAATGTCTAAAAGCGTTCAAACAAAGAGAGGTTGTTCATTTCAGACTGCTGTTTTCACGCCGTTCGATTTCAAAGGAGTTTGTTTACTTCGTTCAAGCGTGACGTAAAACGACTGTAAAACGATGAGCCTTTGATGTGGTCTTGAATTGCGCCTATTTTTAGCTCAAACTAAAATTTCTATTTTTTTTTTTTTTTTTTTTTTTTTTTTTTTTTGAGCGTGAAGAAATCGGTTAAAGATAGCAGAAAGACGGTTGACGGGTAGGAAGGACCATGGGTACTTTTCCCTTCCAAGATTACGTAAAGCTCTTCTCGCATCAGCACTTTCTCTTCGTGTTCTAATCTGCTTTGAAAAATAATAATATGCAATCTCCCATCGAGAAGTTGAAAGTTATCACAGTTTCCTGCTCAAATAAAAAATATTATTGCGTTATCCGTTTTAGGTTCCGACGTTTGCGTTGTCTCAGCACGTAGAAAAAGTCCTGTTTGGCAATAACAAGTTATTCACTGAGCAGCAGTGCCAACTAAAACGAAAGCCTTCGCTGAATTTGCTTATCAAGACCGGTTGCGCAACAGTCCGGTGTAATCAGATCAAAGCGTAATACCACAAACGCCTACGGGTTCACCTACTCCCATAGGGGCAATGGAAAAAACGCGGAAAGTGCCGTGTTGGCATCGGCGCGGGCGGTAGAAGAAAGAAAGGGGGGGACCTTCCACATAGTTCGTAGACTCCGGAGGGAGGTATTCCGTATGATACTTCATATGTATGGGGCTCACCCGAGCGGAGTGCCCTTACAATCATCAGGTATACCTAAGAGTTGAGACGCTACAAATTATTGCATACGAAGGGTAGGGAAATCTGTCAAGACGCTTTTAATCAAATTCTTTCCAAGGTTTTTCACAGGGGTGTCATTTTTCATTGGTAGGAAATTGGTACCATTTCTGTCTGAAGCTGTAAATGAAGGGGAGAGAGGAGGATTTGGTCACGAGGGGGACTTGGTCAGTGGATCTCCTCCTGCCTCCTTTGAAAACCGATGTCTGCATCTGACAGTCCTCAGAAAGTCTTCAGAAATGGTTCAGCTCTAGTGAAAGCGGAAAATGGCTGTCACGTTGGGAGGAGTTGTGAAGCGAAAAGTTTCCTTTCTTCACAACTGCATCCTTGACTTGTTTGATACTTCTCAATCGTGTTTTCTTTAACTTTACGCTGTTCGTCTTCTTCTCTACTCCCCCCCCCCTCCCACAGGGGATTTATAATGTGTGCGACCCCCTCAACCAAAACACTTGTGTCTTAACTTGTCTATGTCGCTACTGGAAAGAACGCCAAAACTGCTTCATCGGAGTCTTATGATTGAAAGATGATCCTTTTTCCGGTAGGTGGCTAAATGTGTTAGCTTCTTCGCGAGTTTGAGGGTTCCATATGAAAACTGATCGCTTCCGTTTGAATAATTAATCGTTTGGTTTATTTACGCGACCGACCTGTCCGTGAAGCTTAAAAATCTACAATTTGTCAGCGGTCTTTTATGAGACAGAAGAACAAGTTATCTCTCTGAAATACGTGATGAAAATACGAGGTGTTTTCGGTCGACGAACGCCGAGCAAAGTCTTTTATTTGGTCGAATACGCGACATTCAAATTTTAAAGAGTTAGAAGGATATCCTTACGCATGCGTTATAACGATCACAAAAATAGATGGAAAAATACAGTTGGCGCCAGTAAGTCTGCAAGACCGGAAATCATGCTGTTGATCTTGGCGGCAAAACGCGTGAGACTAAAATACCAGTGCTCTCAAGCCGGATCTCGCGTGTATTAGAACCCTTACTCGTTGTTTATCCTTCGTCTTTCCAATCAAGCTTACTTTCTGCGATATTTTTTTCCTCTTGTCATCTCGCACAAAAGAACTTGGAATCGTAGCCTTTGATAACTTTGACCCGAAGGTTACAAGTTTTGATTAGTACCAGAATGTTTGTTGCTTAGGAGAACTGATTGAAATTTCGCGGATGAGAAATATTCAAGTTTTAACTATGGCCTCACAATGTAATTGCTAAGCGTAAGGCGGTTTTAGCATGTCACAAAAGAGGTTTTCGCCTCTCAGTTTACTAACGAAAACAAACTTTAGATGCAATATTTGATGGAGTCTTAATAACAAAATACCGGAAACACGTATTAATCACTGCTTGAAGTTCAACTTTGAAGTATTTTAAACCTCCCATCTGGCAAAAGGAATTAGAACATCTTGAAAAAGATCAACTCTGAGGATCTATTGAAGACCGAATGAGACCATATTTCGACTCGTTCGCTACGCAAAGAAACTAAAAATAAACCACATGGCTGGATGGCTACAGCGTCTGTTTAAAAGTTCTTGACAAAACAACCACAACAACTGCTCAAGGCAAAGTGTTCGTGCTTGTTACCACAGAAGTTAAATTAAAAAACAAGACATTTCTTTCCCTTGAATTCGTAGTCACCGCCATGTAACAAATTCTGGTAAAAATGATTCAAAACACGTTTCATTTCAAGTTTGAGAACTTTCTAAATTTATTAAAGTAGATATTTAATAATTATATTTACAATCTGTATAACTAACAAAAACCAACGAACTAATATATATATATACAACTTCTTCGGACTCTATGGATTCAAGGAATTTGCCGCAAGTTTCATTCAATATTTTAACTATGTACAAATCGTCCTAAGCATAAATTATAAATCTGAAATTGGGAAGGGTTTCTCAATCAAAACTGATGCTGTGTGATCAATAGGAACAGAACACAATGAATTTTCATTAAGGTAAATTCCTTTGTCGATACAATTAACGTCAGTGCTGAATGGCTGCGAGGGAAAATAAATGAAAGTATCGATTGTAAAAGTGTTAGGTAGAGTTCGTGTTTGGTAAAGTTTAAAGAAGTTTAAGTACGTATACGTAGAAGCTAGACTAAAAGAGCAGTTTAATTGCATACGATGCAAACCTCTCTCAAGAATATTCAAACTACAACAAAATGGTTTCAATGTGCTATACAAACCGTCAATTTCTAAATAACTTTTAAAACTATTTAATTCGCTCTATCCTTAAAGTAACTGTATATCTCTCCAATACTAATTTTCAATTTCTCGACTTAGTCTCTATTCATTGTAAGTATTTTATTTAAGATCATTGCTTGCTGTCCTTTGTTTCCAGAAGAATAATTCTAGGTTCTCTAATTATACTTGACTTAACTTTTTGACAGCTTCAAAGAACAACGTTCAACTCAAGTCTTCGACTTCGCCGTCTAAACTACAATCGCTTGAAAGCGTACTCGTTGTGGAACTTGGAGTTTGCGGTGTTCTGAGCTGCCTTTCAAACTCCAGAAGTTGTCCCATGAAGTTCAAATTTGGATTGACGCTAGGCTTTCTTTGTTTCACGAAGTCGTAAGCTTCGTTTAAAGTCATGTTAAGGGCAGATATAAGGTAAGCGATAGTTACTGTTACCGAACGGGAGACGCCAGCCAGGCAATGAATCAAAACTCCACGGTTCTGTGTAATTCCCTCATCTGAAAAAAGAAACGAAATATATTTGATTATTAGGAGTGCAGGTATCAAAACCAAAGTTAAGCCGCAACATCAATATTCAGTCAATAAAGCAATGGATAGTGGTTACGCTACATCGAAGAAGGAAATAAAAAATTTCTGCTTTTGCGGCAAAACCAGTTCAATAGCGGCCACGAGCGTTTAGCGAGTATAATTCATTAGAGTAGAGTTTCCAATTTAGACAAAAATGTAGAAACGATTACCCAAGCGCTATTTGTAAAGATTATTTCTATAGTTCAATTCTACGCGATAGTTGCGTCAAATGACAGGGTAGCAAGCTCTCTTTCCATTATACCAACACGCACTAAACAAACAAATGCCGAGTGAATGCACAAGCACTCGTTCACTCGAATCCAAAACCACCCACACGCTTAGTCAATGAACGACATTTTCTTTCAAATTCCCAAACTCACTTGCTCCAAAAAGTCAAAGATTTGTTCCAGTTAGGTATTAAAGAAGCAATTTTTGTCAAGGGGGCGTTCGCCACTAAAAATTACAATTTCCTTGCAATACCAGGGTTGCTATAGTTCGCCATTAATCATCAATCAAATTTACTACATCGAAAAAGAAGCTTAATTAACCTTATATCGAAAATATTTAGCTTAAATAAACTTACCTATAAATTGAAACGCCTCAGGAAACATGTCGGATAGGTTAGCCCTCCAGTTGTCTTCTACAGGGAGTTTCTTGTATTTAAAATCAGGCAAATGTTCGAAAGAGTTTGGTTTGTCGTGTGTAACGTTCAACATATACGAAATTTCGTATTTCTTCAAGAGTTCTAAGTCTGAAGAATCCTTTTCACTGCCAAGGTATAAACGAGGTAGGATCTGAACGGGAACTTTTGTCTTGCACTCTTGGTGATCGGTGATTTGAGGTGTCCTTGGCTCGAGTTCCAACGCGCGGTCTGTGATGTCGGTGTCTTGTATCGTTAAACCTGACAGAGACAGCAATGGTCGATCGACGAGTTCTCCGGCGACGCAAGAACTGGGATACTTCTTCTCGAACTTCGTAAAGCCTCCTGGAATACAACGGAACAAATCGCAGTGATTAGCGAGCGGCGAATATTAGATTAATTGCGGGCGAGATTAGTTAAAAAACAAACAAAATTCTGATGGTGTCTCCTTTTGAATCAGCAAATGAACAAGCGACAGACTGTCGAAATTTAGTTAACACGCCAGTCAATTAAATTTCAGAAGAAAAGTTCGATTGTTTTAATGAGAAGAAATCTCAGTTCTTACCTTCGAGTAGCCAAACTGGCGTATTGACATCTTCGGAAAACTTCTTCAGCAAGACTCCTAAGGCACTGTTCGAACATACGCTCGACACATCGTTTGTTTCCGAATCGTACAAAACTATTCCCGACGCCAGGCGAAGATTCCTGTTAAAATGTGCCTTGCCGTCTTCCGAAGTGATCAGTGAACTTATGGCGAAGTTTGTGCCTTTCTTTAGTCTTCGTAGCATGAGGGAAGGAATAGTCAAATTAATCGCGCCCTGTACGTGGGAATGAGCGTATTCGGCATACGGTCGGCAGTCGAGTAGTAACAAAATTGCCCCATTACTCAGTTGGTCTGACAACCATGAAGTTGTGGCGCCTTTCGCCATGAACTTTTTCCTCTCGCCTTGAATTCTTTGATAACTCCTTGGGCTTTCTACGTAAAGTAGTGAAGGCATTTCAAACACGGTTCAAGGTTTGCGGTTTGATAAAGCTAATTTCTCTGAGAAATTGATTTTATGTTTTCCTCTCGCACACCAACATAACCATTTGATTCGGCGAAGTGAACACATTGTTATTAGCGTTAAGATGATTGACAGTCATTATCGACGTATGTGTTGGTATGTCGTAACTGTCCAATCAAAATCTTCCTTGCTGAGAGTAGCGCTCTTTCGTCATGATTTCCATAGCAACAAATCAGGACTTGAAAGAAAAGGAGGGGTTCTCGTTCTTTCACCTGTCAAATGCTTCCGGTTAAGTGAAAGCTAAAAATTATCATAACAGGCCTTACGAAATGCTGTAATAATACACCCGAAGTTGGCAAAACCGTTCTACCTATTCGGCAGAAATGAACAGCATAGCGACAAATGCATCATGTTTATTTGTGAAAATGCAATGTTATGAATCAGTTAAAGAGCAACGAAGTTTTTTTAAACCATATCCCGCTGCTTCGGAAAGCATCAATATACAGGGCGCGGTAGTAATTAGTCATGATTGCTATTCAAAAAGCGTTGGCCTTCCTTTACGTAACAATACCGAAATCTTTTCCTTTGTTCACTTCACGGTCGAACAGTCGGCTTCAGACACAGAAAGTATCATTGATAACGTTGGAATTGGTGAAATTTTTTCGCTACCTAAGGAGGTGAATTGTTTAAAATAACTTTTTGTAATGGTTTGTGTCCCGTGCTATCCTGTTACATGCTCGATTTCATTTTCAGAATATCTCAAAAAATTTTGAGGTCATTGGGTCGCGCTGAAAGACTCGGAATATTTCCTTGCAGCCAATCAGCAACAAGTTGGCTTATTTTATGGTTTCTTCTTTGCCTGTCACCTTAATTATTAATTATTCGAACGGAAATCCACAGCCGTTCCCAAGAAATCCTGAAAAAACTCTTTTAGATTTCCTCAGATAGTGAACAAAGTCTATTTTCACGCCTTTCATTAAAGTATCAATCAAAACATACTTCAGTTTTGAGTTCAAAACTTTTTCTTTTCGAGTTCAAATTACATTTATTGTTTTACTAAACAGCATTATGAGGGAACGGAACAAAGACAGTTTGCCTACAGACAGTTTGCCAAAGACAGTTTGCCTACAGCTTCAAAGCTTCTTTTAAATGTTTTCATGTTGATTGAGTCAAATAAAAGTTTCATTGGATTACAGCATTCATTTGTGTTGATACCCGTGCCTCATGTTAACTTACTGTACGGAAGCGGGATAAATGTTTGACATTTTCAAAGTCCGGGGCTGAACGGGCCGCAAAAACCGCTTGTCTTAAATAGAAAATACATCTGTAACTCGTGATGTGTCAACGCCCTGTTGGTAAATTAGCAACGATGTGTCCGCATATGAATTTTTATGCCAAACCACGACGGAAAATTTAGGGAAAGAAAACAGTTCTCCAGTTTGCTTTGCTTTAAGCATACGCTCTACGTTGTAATGCTTCGGCGAGGAAAAACAACAACAACAAAAAAAAAAAAAAGCGCTAAAAAGATCAAAGTGATTTGCAATGAATTTTTCTTTCATTTCTGATAAGTGATTGTCAAGCTAGATGAATTCGAAATTGAAAAATGAAATCAGCAAACGTCTTATTTTGAATTCAGACCTAACCCGAAACCAAAATAAAGGAAAAAAACATCTATTTAATTTCAATTTAGACTGGTAAAAGACGAGCAATAAGGAAGAGCTTGCGTGCTCAAGATGATATTTAAGGTACAGAAGAAGGAAGATTAATGCTGCCGAGCCTACTTGTTTGCTAATCCAGGAAAAAATAACATTCCTCTTGAATTTGAAAGGCTCTTAAAGAAAATTAGCCGCTCTGTCCGTCCCAAAGAGTAATATCTATCAGCTTAGAGTATTTTGACAAGTCGATGTATGAGTTCCCGCCCTGCGCAGGCCTGTCGACCAATATTTCAGCTGTGGTTCATCAGCAAATATTGCCGGAAAACGGGCTGATAGCTTGACTGCCATGCCCAAAACACTTGAGGTTAGTGGTAAGACCATCAATATAGATTCTAAATTTGATTTGTGATTCGCACAGCGACAAAAATAAGTCAGTATTTTGCCGTCAAATCCTAACGAAAAAACCAGATATTAATTCGCATGGCATGACAAGTTTGGTTTGCAAGCACCTCTGCGTTGTAAGAGTCAGCGTACGATGTCCTCAGACTTTTTCAATTTTTCTAAAATCTTACAGAAGTCACTTCTGCCGGCTCAGTACTACTAAGACTCCCCCCCCCTCCCTTCCCCCCCAACGAGTAAAGAAAACAAAGAATTGATCAAAAAGGGTGAACAGAAAAGGCAGAGTATGTGTTCTTTTTTAACCTTTTTCTTTACTCTCGCCAGTTGTTATGAATTTATAAATTGCTTTGCAGATCTCATTGGGCCTTTCAAATTTGCTCTCCGTCACCTCGAGGAGAACGCTATCGAACCAATTCACAAGACCCACAGGACCCACAAGAACCACAAGGGAGCGAATGATTCACGCCTTTAAGCCAGAAGTAGTTCATTTTCATCTTATCTGTATTGTATGTGTGAAGCCTCAGCTGCAATTATTTCCGAATGGAATACGTCTTGAAGACTTGCAGAAATTCTCTGAGGTGGGATAAACTTTAGGAAATGAACCAACGTTCTGTAATCATCAACAAAGTTTTTTTCTGCCGGTTACATCACCTTACAGACTTTATGCAATCATGACAGCATCGGTAATTTAGTGAGATCACAAAATGAGGTTTGGTATCATCGATATTCTCGGGTTATTTTGGTTGTTCTAGAAAACTATGATATATAAAAAAAAAATTGTCGCCAATTCGAGACGATCTCTATAATGGTGCTAAACTTGATATTGATATTGCTTTACGATCTACGAAAAAGCAAGTTTGAACGCAAGACTCCCAATATATTAGTTTCCCGGAGGGAAAAAATTATACACAAGAAAGAATAAACCAGAAATAAAATAGGTTAGTTTAAGATGGAGAAGATCGGACGCGGTTTGTATTTGACAATCTTACAAAATTTGGGCAAGATATACCGCAAGTCGCTTTTTCAGGACCAGGCGCGGCGCGATGCAAGTCCTCGTTCCCAGGTCTCTCTCCTTCTGGGGCTAGGAGGGACCCTATGAAATAGTACATCCGTGTTGGATTACATCAGAAGGTCCATTCAGTTTCTGCTTTTGCTGATTAAGAGTGACAAATAGCTTTGACATCACAACAGGGGTTGAGATCATAAGTAATCTCTTCGAATCTTGCGATCCTCTCATAATGTACGTATAACTTTTACATGTAGTTGTGATTTCTCACCGAGTGAAAAAGGTCTTCTGTGAGTATTTTACCATGACTGAACCTTAGTTAAGGTGACTGCTGGCAAGAACAACAAAAAACATTGAACACGTTGGCATAATAGAGTTCATTAAAAGATTCAAGAATTATTTCTGATAAAAAGCTTTTGTGTAACAATCACACAGTGCTTGCTGGCTTCATTTATCTTTTGTTCTATCCATTCAGATGGTCTTTTATTGCCGTTCTTTATTTGATCCCTGCTTTTTCTTTCAGTGTATTGTTCTGGATTACTTTTGTTTGATTTTTGGCAAAGGTGGCTGTAATGGAACTATCCGTAAGCCCAGCCTCTACATATTTACCCCGGGGCGGAACTCCTTTAAATCGATGGTAATAAAACAAGCCTTTCGTCGTTAAAATGAAACGTTCTAACTTGTTAAAAATGTATTTCCGCTTAAATGAAGATTATTGCAAATCATTTCCGCTTCAGTTTTTCATCATCTGTCAGTCATGTTAAGCCTCGCCAACATGGACGGAAGAGGAAACTTTGGTAAAGCTTCCAAGTGGGTCAGTTCTATAGATGGAAAATTACTTTCACTCCCCGTTCTTCCAAAATACCGATATCTTTGGTTACGAGTGGCATTGTAACAATATCAGAGAAGTCTTAACTATTTCAAATGCTTAACTTTTCAACAAAGTCTCGTTATGGCATTGGCCTGAACATGTTTGAGATTTTTTTAGTTTCTTAGCGAAATTTTAAGCATCTCAAGCTTCAAAGGGCAAAAAGTTCACACCTGCAAGAACTGGCTTGAGGGAATTCAGTGTAGGACTGACGTTTTGTGCAGCTAGGTGGAATAAGGGTGGGAAAGGATTTATAGCGTGACGCGCGATTAAGCCCAAAATCTATTCGCGACTCGCCAATTTTACAGAAAGGCAAGGTAAGCTGAGATCAGTTTGGAGTTAACCCTTCTGAACTTGTGACGCTTGAAATAATACGCGGCGCGTGAATATTTCCCCTCCCCTCTTGCTACCCGGCTCTTAGTAGAGTGTTTTGCATTGCGTGACGCGCCGAAATAACGCTTGCTAAAGAGGATAATAATTGCATCTGTACCTGCTGCTGCTTGTTTTATCTGACCAAAAATGGAGTTATTTTCTTCTGAAAAAAGACGAGGACAAAATTGTGAATAGCACCCAAGCACCCACTTAATGCTCCGGAAAACCACGGAGAAATAACCGAATATTCTAGATTTTTCACCGTTCTCCCACGACTGAACAATTTAGTAACGGAACAGATGTATATTTCAGCGAGCTCGCTCTCACGGTGTTGACAGAAAGAAACTTTTCGTCAAATTGAATCCCTCTTCTGAATTATTAAAATCGTGCAAATACAAGGTACTTCAATTACTTTTTATCTCTTTCGATTTCGACTCACTGACGTAATTCAACAATGACTGTGCAAAGCGACACGAAACGAATTGCGAAAGAAAAACTTTGAGTTAAAATCAGGCATGTCAAGTCAGAATTCATGACGAAATCGACGGAAAAGCCGCGTGGGAGTAGATTAAAAGAAATAAAGAGCTAATAGATTAACTCCGTTATGACAGTTTTGCAAAGCTTACTTTCGATCTGCTCTCTTCATGTGCCTTTTTAACTACAATTGGTCAACGCTCATTTTTAAAACAACTTTTCGAAAAGTTTTGTGATTATATGTGAGAAAACTCATTTCTTCACCTTTACCCTGTCCGCATTCTATAATACACTCACTTGTGAAACGACAAAATTGACGCTAAGAGAGATCGGTTCATTCGTCAATGATTGTGGGAAAAAAATACTTCACCAGACTCGTAAACCGCAAACCTCTATAAGCATATTTTTCAGTATCTTTCCGTGTACATCAAGGGTCTTCTATCATCGACGCTTTTTTCTCTGGATATCGATGACCAATTGAATTAGTAACTGCGTCCATCTTTGATTGACAAAGAATACTCGTTGAAGTTTGGCGATGACGTCTCTTAGCATAGCTCAAGAGTTTATCAAGGAGTGTCTATTTTTAGGTCCTT